GTAGCCGAGTGGTTAAAGCGTTCGCTCGTCACGCCAAAGACCCGGGTTCGATTCCCCACATGAGTACAATGTGGGAAGCCCATTTCTGGTGTCCACTGCCGTGATATTGCTAAAAGCGGCGTGAAACCAAACTCACTCACTCTGATATTAGGGACCGTTCATAATTTATGGCTAAAGGGGGTGATGATGATATTTATGGAGAGGCATGTACAATGTGAATGACACCCCGCCCCCCTTCCCCTTCCCATAATTGTAAAAGCAGATTTTAAATCAATTTATGTACAAAATTGCTGACCACCCAAGTACCCATATGTACAAAATTGATGACGCCCCCATCTCCCCAGAACAAAATAGGTTCCCACCCATACAATCATCATCACCCCACCTACCCATAAATAATGTACGGTCCCTTACTGGAACATTACCCAAAGCAATTCTGGTAAAACACGCTCGTTCACAAAAGAATAGTCGGTAGATTATTTAATGTTTCAGCCTATCACCGGAACATGTAAAATCAATTAAAAGCCGATGGACTGTGTAACTGATGGTTTCACTTCTGACTAATATTCTACGAATTTATATTTCTAACAAACCCGAATACGACCCTTATTTCAAAGAACGTTTATTTGTTTGTTTGTATTATTAACGCTGTGCTCAGTGTAATGCAAACGACCTGTAAATTATCGAGTATAGACCAGACAATCCAATGGTTGACATCAAGAACATCGGGAAATTAAAATAAAATTATGTGTGTCAACCAAATCAGCGCTCGTGACCACCAGATCCCGTTAGTCGCCCCTTGCGATAAGCAGGGACTGCTACAGACCAATTCTAACACATGTCGTCAAGGGGGAGCTAGACAGGCACAAGTGTAACATATGTTATATTTGGGATTACACTTTCTTAGTAAAGTACAGATTCTAAATTCTAGTACAGGCACGAGTGGTCATTACGGGGGGTCTACTGCCTTGAAATATGCAACCCTGAGAAAATTGAGTTACGTGCTATCAGTGCTAACAGTGTTAGCCTTACTCCATGTCCCGGGATGTTTTCGGACCGGAATTGATCCGCAGCCTCTTGTCGTAGAAGGACTGGCATCCAAGACATTGACTGCGATCGTACCCTGACGGGGCGGTTCGGAGACAAATCACTGGTTTTGGCTGGTCCAGACTGGCATGGATCACATCACATCATGTACAGGACATCACATCATAGTTCTGTATCATACTGACTGACTGACAGAGTTTGGTTTTACGCCGCTTTTAGCAATATTCCAGCAACATCACGGCGGGAGACACACATTTTACCCATGTGGGGATTCGAACCCGGGTCTTCGGCGTGACGAGCCAACGCTTTAACCATTAGGCTACCCCACCGCCCCAGTTCTGTATCATAACTCTTAAACGATTAGTCTGAGATGAAGCATTCTTCTGGGCTTGTCGCTTTTTCTTTTCTTTTATACATATATGCTTATGTGTGATAACTGTCATGGAATAAAGATGTTAATCTATTGAAAGATGTAGACTGTGAATGTAGTTACAGATAAAATAATACTAGGATCAATAGGTGCTGTAACAGCAACAACTAATCGTACCACGAATAGGTTCCGTAACAGCAACAATTATCGGTAAGTAAGAATGTACCGTAACAGCAACAATAATCGTAGAATGGGTAGATACTGTAACAGCAGCAACAGCAGTAAGAATGTACTGTAATAGCAACAATAATCGTAGAATGAGGAGGTTCTGTAACAGCAGCAACAGCAGTAAGGTTGTACTGTAAAGGGAACAATATTCGTAGAATGAGAAGGTACTGTAACAGCAACAATAATCGTAGAATGGGTAGGTACTGTAACATCAACAATAATCGTAGAATGAGGTAGGTACTGTAACAGCAACAATAATCGTAGAATGAGGAGGTACTGTAACAGCAACAATAATCGTAGAATGAGGTAGGTACTGTAACAGCAACAATAATCGTAGAATGAGGAGGTACTGTAACAGCAACAATAATCGTAGAATGGGTAGGTACTGTAACAGCAGCAACAGCAGTAAGGATGTACTGTAAAGGGAACAATAATCGTAGAATGAGGAGGTACTGTAACAGCAACAATAATCGTAGAATGGGTAGGTACTGTAACAGCAGCAACAGCAGTAAGGATGTACTGTAAAGGGAACAAAAATCGTAGAATGAGGAGGTTCTGTAACAACAACAATAATCGTAGAATGGGTAGGTACTGTAACAGCAGCAACAGCAGTAAGGATGTACTGTAAAGGGAACAATAATCGTAGAATGAGGAGGTTCTGTAACAACAACAATAATCGTAGAATGGGTAGGTACTGTAACAGCAGCAACAGCAGTAAGGATGTACTGTAAAGGGAACAATAATCGTAGAATGAGGAGGTTCTGTAACAGCAACAATAATCGTAGAATGGGTAGGTACTGTAACAGCAGCAACAGCAGTAAGGATGTACTGTAAAGGGAACAATAATTGTAAAATGAGGAGGTACTGTAACATCAACAATAATCGTAGAATGAGGAGGTACTGTAACAGCAGCAACATCAGTAAGAATACACTGTTACGGCATCAATAATCGTAGAATGGGGAGGTTCTGTAACAGCAAAAATAATCGTAGAATGAGTAGGTACTGTAACAGCAACAATAATCGTAGAATGAGGAGGTACTGTAACAGCAACAATAATCGTAGACTGAGAAGGTACTGTAACAGCAACAATTATCGGTAAGTAAGAATGTTCTGTAACAGCAACAATAATCGTAGAATGAGGAGGTTCTGTAACAGCAACAATAATCGTAGAATGAGTAGGTACTGTAACAGCAGCGACAGCAGTAAGAATGTACTGTAAAGGGAACAATAATCGTAGAATGAGTAGGTACTGTAACAGCAGCGACAGCAGTAAGAATGTACTGTAACAGCTACAATTATCGGTAAGTAAGAATGTACTGTAACAGCAACAATAATCGTAGAATGAGGAGGTTCTGTAACAGCAACAATAATCGTAGAATGAGTAGGTACTGTAACAGCAGGGACAGCAGTTAGGATGTACTGTAACAGCCTCAATAATCGTAGATTGGATAGGTACTGTAACAGCAGCGACAGCAGTAAGAATGTACTGTAACAGCAACAATAATCGTAGAATGAGGAGGTTCTGTAACAGCAACAATAATCGTAGAATGGGTAGGTGCTGTAACAGCAGCAACATCAGTGAGGATGTACTGTAATAGCAACAATAATCGTAGAATGAGGAGGTACTGTAACAGCAACAATAACTGCAGAACTTTTGTTTTCGGATATAATTTACGCGTTACACATTAGTAACATAAACAATACCAGAGCAGTGTTGTGAGAATATCAACGGTAGTTATACTATTGAGACAGATGTACTCATCATAGATCATGCAGACTACAATACTGATCACACAGACTGTAACACTGAAACGCACTTGATGTTTCCTTGTATGCAATTTATCAGAACGTCACCGCTGCACCAAATGTTTTGACATGTTGATGTGCAGTCGTGTGTGTTAGAGAGGAGTGTAAAAGATTAGGTTTTGTTGAAGATTTTTTCGAATTCCTCACTAATGAGACCCATGGTGGGAGGGGAACTCTGGTAACATAAACATGTAATTTTCCTCTCGGGGGCTGCCTTTAGAGCTCACACCTCAGCGACACGAAAAAACTCCCCCGGCAAGCTTGACTTTCATAGTCGGATCATGTTACCATTATCCTATCGTTCATAGTCACATTTACCCCTACACAATAACTATGGGAAAATGTGTTTTACGAAATTAAAATCAATTTAGCTTGTAAATATCAAATCTAGCCAGCTCCTTTTAATCTGTAGCAGGGCAAACACGGCGATAAAGGTTCCATAGACAATATATTGGTCTAATTCATGGTACCAAACCAGAAACCATATAAATATGATCTCTGGTCAATTTTTTCCTTTTTTGTCATGAAGATCATGTTAATGAACTTTTTTGTTGCTTGATTAAATGAATCGTTAACCAATTATCTAACACGAAAACGCTATTTAAATCCCTGTTTGACAATTTTAAATTGTTAGGTATTTATTACAATAATGAGTAACGTCATGAATCAATAGTTTCTCATATGTTATAAGCGCGTTATATGGGCACATTGTTACATCGTAAATCTGGTGTGGGATGTGTGAGTGTAGTAGACCAATTCATTTCATACAAAGTCGTGATACACGATAATATCAGCCCTATAACCTTACCACTAGTGGCTGAATCTAACCTGCTTATATGTTATTATAGCCCATTCTATATAGACGGACGACCAGATAGCACGGCCCGACGTCAAGCCGATCCTAAACAGCATTTAACATGAAGAAATGATTTCAGATACGGAAAATAACAACTTTTTCCTTAATTAATGCTCTGTTGTCGGAAGTGATCGGGTAGTAATGTTTGATCGCCTCCAATAAATCCCCTCATAATGGAAATATTGCATTATGGCGTCGGGTTAACTTCCGGTCTTTGTTTAACGCGCGGAGTGGATGGGTCGCGATTTGCTCTCGCTGAACGCGAACCTGGATCTGGGGGCATTAAGTGAGGGAATGGTCGGGCCGCTCCCCAGTCACCAAATGACCTGTATATGGGGTTGGGTAATCACACAGACACGACCCACGGGTCCCATGGGACGGGAATAGAGTACGCGGCTCTCCACCGTTTAAGGTTGGGCATAGGACTGGGGGGTAATAAATTCGACACAACAAAGTGGACCGCCTCGCTGTTAAAGTGTGAATATAACAAACGCTTAATCTGGAGGACATTTTGAAATGACCCGTAATGCACATTTGGGAGTGCCATCTGATTGGTTAAAGCCGCCTCTTTGACAGTCACAAACTTCACAAGCATTCAGCCAATTGGCCACGTGGAAACGTGTCTACTACTGTAAAATACGATAGGAAATGGGAAGAGTTTGACAAGGGAAGGCGAATGCCAGAGACCAAACTTGCTCCTACGCTTTGGAAGTTCAAACGACGTCATCGCCGGCTGTGGAGGGATGGTAGTGTTTGGTTGCTGTCGCGAGAAAGAGGTACCGAGTACACAGAAATCACAGGTGGATTAACATCAGTTGGTTGGAAAGTCGTACTTGTAGGTAGCAAGTACTAACTGTGCCGTATTATCAGATTCTATTGGCGGAACGTTTTAAAAGGTCAGTACTACTATCGGATATTTTCGTTTCCTTTATATCATACACTGTTTGGATGTATTTTCAACCTAGCACGTCAAAATGTAAAACAGGTAATAAAGTTTGCACGGACAAACTTACGTGTTCTCAAAATTTAAAATGTTCAGTTAATAAATGAAATTATTAATATATATTATCGCAATGAAATTCGGTTCATTGGCAACGTGTTGAGCTAAATTACAGAAATGAAAGCCAAGTTTATATCAGTTTGTTTAAAATGCAAACATGTGTGTCTGCTAAATGAGAAGCTTCCATAACCCAAATGAAACAACACACATAATCTCAATAGATACGTCCATTGTTAACTCTTGGCGCGAGGTTACAGAAATGAATGCATGCTTGTATGTCTTCAAGAACATTTTTCGCTTTCGAGGAAGTAGAATTTGATCACATCTGCATTGACGCAGCAGTGAGGTTTAAGCGTCACGAATATATAAAGGTAAACATGGCGTGTTAACAGCCCGTATAGAAACAAAAACGATTTTCAATCGTTGCCATACGCCGTTTTCAAGAGAATATAATGTTTCAATACATAGCAACGACCAGGTACAAATAATTCTGATCCAAGACTCCAATGCCTGATGCGTTACATAACTGTCAGCTAACGGTCAATCGGATATAACGGACAGTCTGTTGGCATGACCAACATGTCTGTAGCACAGGAAGTGGAACCTCATTAATCCGAACGATTTGGTGAACCGGATGAACTGGTTTCCTGGTTAAGCTGTCTCGACTGAGAACGCTCAGTTTCGCCATTGTTCACAGCGATTCTTGGTACGAAACAGTTTGGAACTTGAAGAGTACATTATCATGATCTGAGATCGAAACAGGCTTAAGTTGTTCTGTTTACTTTAAACTCAATCTCAAATTTATTCATAATCTATATTTTGATATGTGTTAGATTTAAAATTCAAAACAGCATCCTTTTAGTAAAACAAAGGATCCAAGCACTGTATCAGACATTTTAAATTATTTTTCGATAAACAACGAAAAGAAACCTTTCTTTCGGAAGGTTTTATGGGGTTTTCAGTTTGTGCAATATCAACATTTCTACGTCTGTGGAAGTCACTTTGTTATAACATCTGTTTGTTTAGAACAATAGCTACAAGTTCTACTCTCAACGTATTCCGTTTTAAGAGGACGGTCAGTTGGTGGTATATGATGAAAACCATGAGCCATGGACCAGCGTTGTCCTGTCCGTTCACGGGGTCGTGTGGTCAGGCTCACTGACTTGGTTTACACACATGTCATCGGTTCCCAATTGCGCAGATCGATGATCTGGTCTGGTCCAGACGCGATTCTTTACAGACCGCCGCCATAAAGCTGGACTATTGCTGAGTGCGGCGTAAAACTAAACTCACTCACTCACTGTCCGTGCAAGTAGTGTGAATAGAACTCTCGTCTTCATCTTCAATATCGTGTACAATCTCGCTATCTTAAAATACATGTACTTATTTCTATCACATAAATGTTATGTATATGTTATAGAAATACTGTGAACCTCGTTATACACTTGTTAAGATGATATATGAACAAATCAATGGAGTCAGTAGAATAAAGTCAAAATATGGTAATCGTCGGCTTCGACAGATCTTTTTCACAGCGATAAGAAAACCTTGTTTAACAGCCAGGAGAAAATATATGTAGGTATAAGTTGGTTTGCTAATAGAAAACGCTTCCAAAAGTTTCCGATTATTGCTGTTATGTACAGAATCGTTACTGAATCGTATCCCTTTTACACACTAGTTTTCTTCAAGTAGACTAGTATTTTGTATTATACCCTATAAATTGCGCGAGGACAGCTTTACTGCACGTGGATTTCATCTATCAATTTACGCCAGGGCTTAATAAGGTCCTTACGGTACACATTTCTTACCGCTGTCATCACAGGTAATCAGAATATTTTGCCAATAAGTTCGAAAGCATCATTGTGTATAGAACGTATACGTATTTAGAAAGAACTATGGCGGCCACTTTGACATCGATTTTGATGCTCTTAGTATCAATGGTATTTCTTGACTATGTTTCAACTACGAGCAATGTATATCAAGTTATATTACTATTGGACCCATTTGATCATGACTTTTCTTCACTTACTTCGTCACCAAATGAATATGAAAATGACTTGTTGATTTATTGGTGCTGACAATTGATGGTGACACTTCGGTAGAATTAGTGACTTTAACAAAGCATTTCAACCAAGTTTCTTGATGACCAACCACACACGTTTTATATTTCCTAAATACATTGTCGTTATTCTCGCAAAATATTTCGTCGAAATCAGCACTGAATGTAGTTAAATACAAGGAACAGAACCCTTTCAATATTCATAAGAAATCTCTGCTAAAAGTACAGTCGGTTGTATTGTATATGAAGAGCACACGTTTATGAATAACCATCAAATAATGGTGATAACAGGTGTATTTTGCTGTCTCCCTGTCAAAAACACATGCAAAAACTAGTCAATTGCTCATCTGAAACAATACCGGAAAATACATACGAGTCAAAATATGGAACAGCATCGAACACCAATTGTGTCATCGATGCATCAAAATTTTAAATGCTTTTCAAATATCTATCACAAAAACGTTTAAAGCTTTACCGAGGGATTGACGGTTGTAACCTTGATCAAACGTGTGGTATCGCTCGTTTTGACATGCTCAACAGCTCGGCATATTTCTGGATTTGCAGGAATATTGTTCGACATAAAAGCAATGTTGACTGTTGGAAAGTTGAAGCTACTCCCTTTTCTCAAGCAGTCTTATGGAGAGGTTTGTTTTGTCACTTTGAATCTTTATGCACAGATGGACACATATATTTTATCCTGTCCAGATTATCCTAGTTATTTAATGTTACATTTCAAGCAAAACAACTTACAACCTGCAGTAGGATATAGAGCTGTCGCTCTGTTGTGTGTAGAGAACAAGTTGTTTCATCTGGAAATTGTCAGATTAAATATTCAGTGTTTCCAGTGTTTAAGTATTCTCTGTTTAATACTATCTTTGGTAGTATTCCTGCGCACAGTGGAAAAAGTAAGGACAGAAAGAATCACCTTGACTACAACACCCAAATATTTTGAAAATGTGGATCCAAACCATTAATTAGAACTTGTGATTGAATATCGTCGTATAGATGTTTGTATTCATCTTGTTTTTGAAAGAAACAATGCCACGTTTACTGTTTTGTCTGTACATTTATAAGAAGTATACCAAATGCCTAATATAAACTCACAGATTTGTCGTTCTGTTTCACCAATGTATGGACGCAGGTGTGTCAAATGTTGCTCTTGTATATTTCCTTTTGGCATACACGTTGTCAGTCCATGTCTTTGTGACATTGATAAATGTCCATTATTGTAACCATCATTTGAGGATTTCATGAAGCATTAAGGTCAGTCGGAAAGAGTTTGATAAATTCCGCTGTATTTCCGTGTGGTCCAGGACTCGTATCTGGGTAAAAACTGTTTAAAAGATTATAGCATCTCTGCGTAGGTCAATTCACCTTCAGCCTTAATAAATTCAAATATCGACATGTTTTATAAGTAGTGGTCAAGTTGTAATTTCCTTTTTTGTTAGTCATTGTGAATTGTACTGAGTATGCACAACTCTAACAAAATGCAACAAATAAAATTAAAATATCTAAAAAAGACAAAAATTTGATACTGTCGGACCTCCTAGTGTAAGAAGTATTGCTTCCTCCTAATCGTTGTCTATATTAAATTCAGCTTTATTATCTACACATTTATAGTGTTGTTTTCTTTTCACTCTTGACGAGTTTCTTTTATTTTATTAAATTAATAACTACTTTTATTTAAACTGAAATTACACTCTTTCATTTTGTCTCCCCATTTGTTTTAGATATTTTGTTCCAAATATTTGGTAAAATTTTCATCTTTCAAACATTGGATATTTCCTTTCACTTTGTTAAGGATGTAAACGATTTTGTATGTTTAGTTTTATAATAAATACCTCAGCAAGTTTGTGATATTATTTTCAGTATGTCACCCATTTAATATTTCACTACTTATATACATGCGTAGTCAAGCACCATTGTGTCGAAGTTAATACTTCGATTTTCGACACAAACACAAAATGATCACTAGAGAAGGAGCACGGACCAAGTTTTTACCTTGGGACACCATTATGTTCGACTTATCAAAGTTCGAGAAAACTGTATTTGACTGTAGAGGTCTGTCAGAATAAACACAATGTTGTAAATTCATAAGATGAAGTACAACCACAATTACATAACTGTTGCATGTGTGATGACGTAAGTTAACAAAGTCAACTTTAACGTCCTGCATCAGAAAAATCGAACAAAAAGCAGCGTCGGTGACCGAAGCTAAAATATATTTCCCTCTCTCTCTACGAAAATTTGCAAACTAAAAAAACAATATATTCAAATGTTTTCAAAACGCCAGCGCTATGGAAACATCTGCATGTGGAAGTGCCGATATTACAGACGTTTACTTCACACGCATAGGCAAACACATGTGTTTTGTTTCTTAATATGTGCTGATCTTGCCTTCTGAGTGAAATATATATAGGTAGCCACATAATTGTGCAATGCGTGACAAAATCCTATTTGTGGATCATGGCATTGATTAGAAAATGTTGTGTAGCAGTGTATTGTTTTCATATATCCGGATAAGCTATGTTGGTAAGAGGCCACTAAATGGATCGCATACTTGTCTGGTTTGGTGAATTGTTGAGTATTCCATTTGCGCTCACTGATGCCGATTTATCACATACTGTCATATTTAGATACTAATATTGCTTCGTTATATACGGCACATCTGAGAAGTCAATACATCAAACGTAATTTCCTCAAAAGAATTTTGGGGCGGTGGGGTAGCCTAATGGTTAAAGCGTCCGCTCGTCACTCTGAAGACATGGGTTCGATTCCCCACAATGGGTACAATGTGTGAAGCCCATTTCTGGTGTCCCCCGCTGTAATATTGCTGG